TCCGATCTCTCCAGGTAGGTGCTGTGGTTTAATGCTTAACCCTTCCTACGGGATGGAGGGAACGGGTGAGGGTGGGCTGCTGGCACGATGAGCCTTGGCCAAGGGGTCTTGGGGAGGACAGGAAGAGCTGGCAGAAGGGTTTTGCTTGTAGAGGTGGTGCCAGCCTCATCCAGAGCTTGGAATTTCTTGTGGGTGAGCAAGATCAGAAGCATTCTTGTTTCTGCTGCCTCGGGAAGCTGAGCTCTGCGTAGGAAAACGGGTCTGGAAAGGCATCCCTGCCCCATGCTGGATGTATTTTTGGTCTGGTTTGACTTTCTTTGGGGGACAGGGTGGCTGGGCTGTGCCTCCAGACTTGATCCAGAGCTGGCCATGGGGTTTTCACTCATCCCATATCCACACAGCCCCTGGGTGTGTGTCCTGGCTCTGCCATGCGGAGGTTGCAGCCTCTGCCTGCCCGGCACTGAGCAAACCCTGATTCATCTGCAGCTGCGGGATGAGCCCTGCAGCCCTCACTCGGTCTGTCCTCAAAAGTGATCTTGGCTCCAATGGGAACTGGGGCAGGAGAGGCTCTGGGGCATCATGCTGTGAATCAGGGGCCCACATGAAGCCTGGGTGATGTGGGGATTGCTCCCGACCTCCTGTAGACCCCAGGGCAAGAACCTGCATGGGCAGGGAGATGGTGACTCAAAAGAGCAGAAATCCCAGTTTAAGTGGATGTGATTCCAAGACTTAATTGCAAACCCCAGTACTTTGGATAAAGACACTCACAACAGTCAGCCCGGAAAAGGGAACTGAGACCCCATTGCTCAGAGGCTGCCAGCTCACACCCTGCCTCCGTCAGGGATGGGATGGATCCAGAGGACATCTCAGCCCAATCCAAATGCACCTCCTCTGAGCCATAGATCTGCCTGAACACGGGCCCAGCAGGGTCCTGCACCCAGGTTGTTTCACAACCCAGGAAGGCAGTTTCTCCTCTCTCATTAGATGAGACAGCATTCACTGCAACAGCATGAATGTCAGATATCTGAGCAATAATGATTAACAGGGCAGGAGAGGACAAAGCAGGGGGGGACTCACCAACCCGTTTTTATTCATCTCTATGAGTTTAAAAAAGCAAAGAGGGTGAAGAATAAATCCCTCTTTGAAGAGAGGACGGGAAGAGTGGCAAAGCAAATCCAAAGCCTAATGGGCGGGTTGTGTAATGACAAGTAACGAGAAACTGCATGTTGATAATGCCAGGTTACGTGCAGCTCAGGAGGAGCCAAGCAAACTCAAGGCAGGAAAACCTCATTTTCATTCTGAAGGAGCCTGTGCATGCAAAAGCAAAGAAGTAACTGGCTCTCACGTGGATTTGAGCTGGCGTTAGCACCCCATGCTGTGACTGCTTGAAGGACAAGAGCCCTTTAGCTGAGGTGTGTGTAAGTCCCCACACACGTGTTAACCTTGCCTGGTGTGAAGTGTCTGAGGCCAGCTTGGACACAGGGGCTTGGAGCAACCTGCTCTAGTGGAAGGTGTCCCTGCCCGTGGCAGGGGGTTGGGACTGGGTGAGCTTTAAGGTCCCTTCAACCCAAACCATGCCATGATTGCTGCACCAGATCACACTGTGCCATGCAGATAAAGCTGTGCTGCCTTCCCAGTGCAGCTGAGCTCAGCACAAATATTTACAGGGTCAGGCCCGTGGAGGTGAGTAGAGCTGTAAGGACAGGGTGTCCCCTGATGGGCTGAGAGCAAGCTGGGGATGCTCACAGGCTCCCCGGGGCAGGTCCCAGCCTTCTCCATCCCCCTGATGCCAAGGACGGCATCAGGGACCACCAAGAGCCCCCCAGCAGTGGATCCGATGGCTGTTGGGGTGTGAAGGCTGCTTGGGGGTGCAAGGGGTGGTGGGGATGGAGGCAGCAGAGGGAACGGCAGCACATTCTCCCTGGCACCGCACTGTTCCCAGAGCAGAGCCGTGCTCCCAGCCAGGACCGGTCCCCCCTCTGCTCTCCGTTCTGCTCTGCTGCCCCAGCCGCTCCCCCGAGCAGGAAGAACAGAAGCTGCAAACACAGGGGGGAATGTGGTTTAATTTATGACCCAGCTTTCATTACACAGTAACTTGGGAGCCACGCCGCCAGTCACCGTGGCCCAAACAACGCGAGCGACACCGCAGGCCCGGACCTGCTCCGACTTTCATGTTCTTTAAAGTCAAATTCAGAGTAAACCCTGTGTCTGCATGAAGCTGGGGTGCCAGCTCCGGAGCGGTGATGGAGCCTGTGCTCTGCCCCAGCACGTGGGGGAAGCTCCGCTGGGACCCCTGCGTGTTTTGGCAGCTGGGGATTGTAGGTGATGAACATCGCTATGAAAAGCTCAAAGCAGCCAACAAAAGTCTTTTCCAACGCAGTTCCAGGCAGAGATTGTCAGCAGCTGCCTTCAGCCCCTGATGCTTCTGCATCTGAGGCTTTTTGCTCAATAAAAATGAAAATGCCATCCCCACAAATGATGCTGGGGCTAAAATCTTTTGCCACCAGTGGTTTCCTTTCCAGGTAATGTGGTTGAGAGCTATGTGGTGGCTCTATGGTCCTGGTCTTGCTGAGCTACATGCTAAATATCCTCGCTGGGGAAGGCTTGCCTAATGTAGGGATTCTTTTTAAATGAGTGATCCATCTAATAGAGGAAATTAGGAGTTGTCAAGTGCTTGTGTTGGGAAATGCCTACATCAGCTGGGTAAAGCGAGAGCGCTTTGTGACACCGGGCTCATGTTGGCATCCCTCTCCCCCAGCCCTGTGCAGCAGCTGGGGAAGGCAACCTCCAACAGCCCCTCAGCCCTTCCCCAGGGTGTTTCGGTCTCCTTGCTTGTCTGGCCTCGAGGCTGCAGGCTGCCCATGCAGGACAGAGCACCACCATGTCCTTATGCTTCATCCCAAACAGCCTGGCCAGGCAGAGGACCCTTGAGGATGAAGAAGAGCAGCAAAGAGAGCGCCGGCGAAGGCACCGGAACCTGTTGTCCTCCACATCAATGGATGAAGAACCTCCCAGCCCTGTGAAAGGCACCAGCCCAGCTCCCAGCAGGTGTGTGGGGTCCTGCTGGCATCAGTCTTAATCATGATGCTGATTGCTTGCAGCTTCTTGCTGCCTTGTTTTAATCAATCCTGAGCCAAAGCTGGTGCGATTGGTGGGACTACCTTTTGGATAAGAGTGGGCTGAGCTGGGGAAGGAGCTCAATGGGTCTTTAGGCAGAAGGATGAGTTTTGCAGGAGGAGTACAAGGAGAGGGGTATGTTGCTGGTGGGCTCAGTCATGAGCTTTAACAAGTCCCATGGTACAGGGAGCTGGTGTTCCAGGATAAAGGTTAGTGCTGGGGTTGAGTTTGGGTGGGTGCTGGCCATGGTCTTGTGGGATCTGGAGCAGGTAAGAGCAGATAGGCACCCACCTCTGCAGGGTAGATGACCTTAGCATGCAGAGCTCTGGTCCTTGCAGTGATGTTGTATGACCTTTGCTGGAATGGGGAGGCAACCCAAGGGCTCTCTAGTGGTGTTCCCAAAGTCCCTTGCTGCAGGGAGCTGGGTTTTGGAGGTGCTCTGAGATCCGGCTGCCCTTTCACAACCTGACCCACTCTCTAAATTGATCCTGGAGATGTTCAGTATTTAGATGGGGTTTGTCTATGGTGAGATCCATGCTCTAGAGGTGTTTCTGTCTGTGTTTCAGGTGGTGTGGAGTTAGGGTGCCTGGGTGGGATATGGGTTGAATAGTGGCTGGACATGACTAATATGAACAAGATAGTAAAGTTCCCCTTCCCTAGTGCTAGCACAGGCTGCCCATATGATTGCAATTCAGGAGAAAAGCAAATATCCTTGTGGATGCTGATGTCCTGGGATGAGGCTGTAGAAATGCTTAATCTCTGCTGCACAAAGGAAAGGAAGACTTGTAATCCAAACTTGTCCTCAGAGAGCCTATAGCTGGGGTGGCAGTGACGAGTGTGGCTGCAAGTCCTGCTCTGCAGGGATGACTCCAGGATGTTGGAGTCTTTCACCTGGGTTAACCCCACCTGCAGCACAAAAGGCAATCCTCTGGTCCTGGGGTGCTGAGGTTTGCTCCCTATTTTGTCTCCATCTCTAGACCTCAAACCCTGGTGAAGC